CGCGCTGGCTCGCTGGTTCGTTTGCGCTGGGGGTGCTTGCTCTTCTCTCTCTCTCTCTCTCTCTCTCTCTCTCTCTTTCTCTCTCTCTCTCTCTCTCTCTCTCCCCCTTGCGCTCCCCTTCGCCCTTCTCCCCCTCCGCCTTCTCTCAACTCCACCTGCACTCCCGCCACCGCTCCTCTCCCTCTCACCAGCCGCTCTTCCGCTTCGCTCCGCTTCTTCCCCCCCTCCGCCGCCGCCCTTCTCCCCAGCATCCGCGTAGCCCCATCTAACTAACTATGACCCCCCTCGCACCCCCCGCCCTCCCCAATCAAGTGTAGTATCTGTTCCGATTGGTTTCATATCTCATCCGTGGTCCATGGGGACCCCTTTCTTTTAACCAAAAAAAAGGAAAAACCGCACGCTGTCGCATTAAATAAATAAATAAATAAAGCAAATTCCTTCCTGTTGTGTGCGTTCGGCTTCGAGCGAGACCCTTCAATTGCGGTCTTCGCCGGTCCCCGGTCTTAGGAATCTTTTATTTTGATTCAGAACAGCAGAGATAATCCAAATATTAATAATGCAATTTCGATGGGCCATGCATATATTATGTCTGCCAATTTGCTAATTTTGAGAATTGTGACAATATCATCAGGAAAACATAATCATCATCAAAATCAATGCAAACGAAGCAGGACTGACTAACTCAGGACATAGGCAAGGTAAGTGAGGGAAAAGTGAGAACTCATAATGATCCCAGAAAGTAGAGATGAAAGGACACGGCCAGCACTCGTCAAGAGTCCTAAGGTCTCATTCTCAATCTCTCATTTGGATGTGCGCCTACTGTGCCTTGAGCCATGTCCTCGTACTTCCTGAGACTGTGGCCTCTGAATGTAGACTCACCTGAAACCTGCAAGTTTTGAACACTTTCATCCAAGACCCATAAAACGGAAGTCAACCATAGCACAAAATTCCTCCCACAAAGTAGGAAGGTAGGGCCTGGAGAAAACCCCTCTCTTGAGATGTTGGAACTCTGAGGGCTCAGTCATTGTCTCATAGTCAATCTCTGCTGGGGAAATATACCTCGTGGCTAAATCAACCAAGTCACCCCAACTAGAGCCGTTCATGAGAGGGAGGGGGAGTGGAGGCCTAGGGTAGTCTGTGTAAAGCTTGGGTCCAAAGCTACGGATCAACTTTGTCCAACTCTCATCGAGTCTCTCTCTCTCTCCTCTAGGTATGAGGTCGCTGAGATCCAGATTGAGTCAAAGCGTTCATGAGCCTCTTTGCCTTTCTTCACATACGGTCTCGGGTCATAGATAGCGCCGCCGGTGAAACTGGTGAGAACAACAAAGACTGTTAGACCCTCTTGCCTGAAACCAACAACACTGACATATTGATATCGGAAAGCGTCCTGGGAGGCAATCTTGTTGAGACTGGCCAAAACTGACCCTTCGATCGGGAATGATTGAACCGCACTTATGTGCAGAGGAGCATACTGAAACCGATCTCTGTATCTTTTGATGAGGACACTGTCTGACTGATACTGATCTTTGTGTCAAATGGCAATGACTAAATGCTGTTTGATTCTGACTGAAACTTTCGGGTAACTCGGATGATTGAATGTTGTTGAGATAACAAGTCACTGAACATTGATCACTTAGTAGCGGAACACTGAGAGAACTGCAGATTACAGAGTGACGTCTTGCTGGTGGGGATTTCAGGAGAAGAGTTCGGGCATCTTTGCACTCACTGGAGCCTCGCCCTGGCTTGCTCCACTGTGTCTAGCCATGAGCCGGTACTGTACAACTTGCCATTCTGATCACGAAAATAGAACACGTACTCAATGTATTTTTCTTCCTTAATTCTCCGGATTACACTCTCTCTCAAAACCAATTTCTGACGCTCCATACTCAAAATAGCCTCAACTTCCCAGTCTTCATGTTTGTCCATAATAACCCCGTGTTTCATCACTAGGATCTCTTCATCCTTCATGATTCCACCACGCTCCAGGTCCCAAGCAATGAATATGTTGGACTACAGGTAGCTTTGGCGGCTCCTCACTTAGGATGGGAGACTGCTCTCGGGCTCAAAATCGTTGATGTTAATTAGAATGTTTAGTAACCGCTGAGTATTTCAGCACGACGTGTGTGCCACTACTGATTGAGTGTCGAAGCAAGGACCAGCCCTGCAAAATGACAATTAACTTTAGAAAAATTTGACTGGGAGTAGAGTCTGGTTCGTTGGTCAAAACAGTTGAGAAACATTCGTATGCTGACATGGGTACCCGAAGAGAATTAGGATACCAGATGAAATGCTATCTGACAGAGAGCTGTTCCCGGAGACAGATTAGCAGAGCAATCGTGATAACGGGCCTTGGTTGTCGATCTGCATGAAAATATGGGGTAGTTCTCTCAACATCTGCTTACATCTTACTGGATTTGGCTCCTAGCCACCATGCATCCGATCAACTCTCAACCCGGGGCCTGTCTCTCACAAGGTGGTTATTCCATGCACATGAGTATGTTTGCACTCAGTTGGAGGGAGAGGCGTTCGTACTTAAAAGCCCTGTGCCCTTCTCCCACGGGTACCCGAAGGACTTGGATCCGGGGTCTGAGGGTCGATGACATCCATAGTTAGACCCTCATCTCTTTAAGATTAGATCACAACCGTCCTAGCCATCTTGTCCTCGGGTGACGTGAAGGTGCTTTTAGAACAGTCCAACATGTGTGTCTATTTCTGTCTCTGAGCGACAGGGTATCTCTGTGCAGCCAGACGGAATTCAATGGAGGAGCATTACATTCAATTTTACGACCAGTTTCGATTATGGGATAAATCCAATGCACCGACAAAATCACCCCTGAACTGTGCCCAGTCCGATTTCTTAAGGGTTCTCTGAATGTTCATGGATATGATGGGAAGTAACACGAGATATCATACACAGTCACTTCCAAGCTTCGCGACTGCTCAGCGTCAAAGGTAAAGGTAGTGGATGCTTAAGGC